CGTCCAGGCGCTCACCCTCATCTCCAACTACCAGCAGAAGAGAGACAAGCCGAACTCGGGGTACAACTATCTCGGCCTCGCCGTGCGCATGGCCATGGGCCTTGGGCTGCATAAAGAGTTCCAGGGCTGGAACATCTCGCCCCTGAACATGGAGATCCGCCGACGCGTGTGGTGGTCCCTATGTGTCTTTGACGTCGGCGCAACGATAACCTTCAGCCGGCCCTCCGTCTTTCCATCTGAGGGTGTCGACGTCTCCCTCCCACTCAACGTTGATGACAAGGTGAACCAAGCCCCTAAGCTATCTCGAGAGCATCAGCTAACAATGACCAGTCCCTAACCGCAATCTCCAAGTCCTACCCGCCTGAAACGGAGGGCATCACGCCATACACAGCAGTCCGGACCCAAGCATCCTTCCACATCGCCACAACGCCAATCTACACCCGCGTCATCTCCAAACCTCTCCCCTCGGCAGAGGAAATGCTCCGCCTGGACCAGGACCTCCTCGAGCCCTGGCTGTCCAGCATCCCCCCCTACTTCTCCGAAGCAGCAACGAACCCTCCCCCGCCGCCCAAGTACGCCCTCGCCCACGCCGTGATGAACTGGCGATACCGCAACCTGCGCATCATAATGTACCGCCCCTTCGTCATCCGCCGCGCCCTCCAAGCCCGCGACAGGCGCGCAGACGACTCGCCCTCCAACACCCGCGCCTACGAAAAGTGCCTCGCCGACGCAAAGGCCACGATCACCAGCATTAGCGACTTCTGGGACCGCAACGAGCACAACCGCCTGGGCGCGTGGTATGCTCTGTAATGTCCCCCGAACCACAAGCTCCCTTCTCTGTCTGATCCTAATCCCCCGTGTAGATACTTCCTCTTCCAAGCCGCTCTGATCCCCTGCATCTGCCTCCGCAACGACCCAACCTCCCCCAACGCCGCCGACTGGCGCCACCAAGTCACCACGACCACGCGCTGCATCGCTGCCCTCGCGCCCGTGAACTCGAGCTCCTCGCGCTGCTACCAAGTCATCGTCGACCTCTGCGGCCGCTTCCTCGACAGCAGCGTCGTCGCCAGCCATGCACCGCCCGCTGCTCCGCCGTCCACCGCTGCCCAAGAAGCACGTTCGACGCCGAACTACGACGCTCTTGAGGTTGCCCCTGAGCCCATTGACGAAAGTCCGCAGACGCAGATCAACAGCGTGTTCTCGATGATGTGGCCCAATGTGCCGCCCATGGAGGCGGCGGATGTGGTTATGGGCGACGATGCGTGGATGGAGTTCTTGAAGGGCGGGAGCGGCGGCGATGGAGATGGCATGTGGTTTGAAAGTTAGGGACATGAGTACTCCTGATCATACTACCCTTATGAACATGAAGACATAATCTCAGATCCAGAGGGGCGAGATACACATGAGATAGAACATGTGGGGTTGAAAGAAGCCTGCTCGCAGACGAAAAGAGTATGAACCGACTTCGTCATGTGGAAGATGATACCCATTTCCTCATCAACAGATATTCAATGACGAAGTAATGGTTGAAACCTAAATACAACTGAAAAAATATCAAACGGCATTTCAAGATGACTCGACTCAGCGAGACACATGATGCAGCCTCGTCATCAAAGCACGAGGATCCATGAGTTGGCATCCGAATGTCGGCGGTATTGCCAGCGGAATCGCGCATATCTCTTGATACTCTAAGAGATGTTTCGTGAGGATGAGAAGTCAACAACTGATCTCACGGCAACCGCTGCTTCAACTGTGTCAATGTCCTATGATCCCATCTGGCGCCGATCAACTCGTCCAAGTTCTTTACAACCGCTTTGGACTCCTAGGGCACTACTCCACCCAATAAGCTATACGAAGGTCAAAGTTCGAGCATTAGATACCACTGCTGCAGTGGGCGAGGTTGCTCATTCCTGTGGTTCCAGGCTCCATTCCACTTGGATCATCTTGATTTCTGCCCAGCAGAGCTCACGAGGACACCACGATCATCATGTTGAAACTCATCAACAGACTTGTCTGACGTGGCAGAGCCAGCAAAGCCAAGTATCCAAAGTCAGGCGTCTTCTCTCTGTCAGATTGCGCACATATCAATCGATTTGTCGACCAATCGGGGGTCTCATCGCTAAGGCAACTCTTCGCTACCCCAGGCCTGCCGATCTGGATCTTCGCCCTCCCGGGAGAAGAACCGAGGCACCGCGGAGGATGGGAAGATCAGCAAGCCCACGCAACGCAACCGAGGGCATGAGAGATGATCATCGCTGCCCTCACCGAATGGATGTCGACATCGCCGATTTCCTCTCAAGAGCACAGCTGGCTTGCCCTCATCGCCAGGGGCTAATTCAAAGCATTGGTTGGTCGCGAGGCACGTCTGCTCGCTTACCGCAGCCATCAGCGTGGCGAAGGTGGCATTGGACTCCAGCCTGCGACGTTGAGATCCGTCACGAGATCGAATTTGAAAACTGCGCCCAGAGACGTCTTGTCAACCTGAGGCGTCGCCAAATGACACGTCTTTCAGAGAGACGGAGAGAGACATACCCCTATGTCTCACCCAACGTCCCGACACTCCGTTTGAGGTTGTAAGCTCTAGACTTTTTCCTCATTGAATCTTCTACTGGAGATAGCATACGTGTGCACCCCAAGTGGAGGTGTTCCTAAAACGGTTCCTTCCCCAGACGACCCAGCGCGGCATCGTCACCAGACCCCTTGCATCAGATTCCCCGGGCTGCACGTCGGCTCCGCTGCGGCCCAAAGAAGCAATTGCTTGTTGGTGGTGTGATCATTTCAAACACACCCAGGTCGCAGGTTTAGGCCTCGCTCAACGGCAGAGGGATCCATATGATGCAGACCTCGTCGATCCACGCGGGAAAACCTCAACGGCTCGGGCAAGATATTGCGTTTGTCTTGGGCAGCTGTCTGGTTGACTTATCCGTCGCTCTCAAGCCATAGCATACCATGCATGAGCTACGGCTAGGCTTGCGCGGGCCGGTCGGCAGGGAAGATAACTCTTCGCAAGTTCAACCTCCGATCTTTGCAAAAGCTGAATAAGTGCCTCCTGTTTGATGCTCTCACCGCCTCTGATAGACTCTCATTGCAGAACGTGGTTGATGGAAATCTGTGACAGGGTCTACAAATGAGGGCATATCTTTGCATGCTTCGCCGCTTGCTCATAGCCTACCCGCAGGAGGCTCCTGGCTACAAGCATTGGAGGATGAAAGTGCTCACGCTACCAGCCCGGCTGCAGCACACGTTTGCACACCATCAACAACGCTGTTGTTTTCTCTCTGCTATGCGACAGCGGTGAGGACGGGCGCGTTTATCCGCTGCGTTTAGCCTAAACACCGCGACTTCCCAAACAGGACCTACCGGTGAAGATGTCTTGCAAAGACAACATGGCGTTTGAGGAAGTCATGAGAGAATCCTTCATCTGTGCTACGCCTCTTCAATTTCCTTATACCGGCTCATTGGAACGGGACGGATAAGTCTGCAATGTTGTCGACATGGGAGGGGCGTGTGAGCGACGACCTCAATTTGGTCCTCATCGCGTGGTATTTCCGCCGCGTGTTGGGTGTGTCAGGACGTCGTCGCCAGGTAGAGACAAGCAAATAACGATAAAATCAATTCAGCAATATTTCTGATTAAATTTATTTCACTTGGTATCACCTTTCTCATCCGGTTTTGCAGGGCGATCAATTTGTTGCCGCCCTCAGATCATCATCCCAGTGCAACATGTTGGAGTAATCTGGGGTACATGACACCCCCCCCCCTCAACGACTATGTATGGTGAAGGGCTTTCAGCCCTGAGAACTGCTCGGGACACCAGCTTACGGTGGATCTTTCATTAAAGCTTAAAAAATGTAGATTTCTGATGTCGTTGATTGGACAGTCTGCGACAACGATGGCCATCCTCAAGACTTGAGGACTTGTCCCTTCCGTTCACAACGGAGGCAGTCTTGCGTTGTTAATGCGGACCAACCCATGTGATTAAGAAAGCAGCATGGAGAACATAACGGTTTGAAGTTGGTTGATCCGCCCGTTGAAATGAGCATTCGTCCCCAGATATTTTCAATGAAAATCATAAGAGGCAGCTGGCCCGAAGTCCCGGTCGTGTAATTTGGAGGTCACCTGGTATTACACCGAGACCGCGCAACCCCGGCCACCTCGGTCAGCTTCGAGCCACACCTTACCCCCAGCCCTTTCACCGGGAAGACTTCCCAACGAAGTCACATCCCGCTCGCCGTTGGTGCGCCAGACCATTTCGAAGGGCCGGACCGAATGTCAGGATGAAGTGAAGCAGCGCACGCTCCATCAAGCACCGAGCTGTCGCGGGAGAAGAGAAAGGAGGCTCCAAAATGGGCGGATATTCGTGTCATCTGGCGACATGAGGTTTAATCCTATCAATAAACCGATGTCGTTTGCGGGGGGTTCGAACAGAGTCTGACACTAATTTCTCGGTGTACCCTACCTGCTTCCCGCACGAATATCTCTCCGGGCTCCTTCCACCCCAGTCGCGGAAAAGCCTACCTGATGCGCTTTGGATCATCGCACAACGGGAGGAAGAGGAAGACCGACTGACCTCGCGCATCATTCCTCCTGTACAACAAAGACCCAGGAATAGGCCAAGATCTGACCCAGTCGTGACACCCACCCCCCTCTGCACTTGTTCCTATTTTTCTTCTTCTCCCGTCTCACCTCTCTTCCCCGCGGGACACTCATCCCACTCCAAGGCCCCCCCGCGCCGTGAGAGGGTGCATGTAAACGAGTATCGCCATCCCGCGTTTCTCCCCAGACCAGACGAGGCCTTTGGGGGAGCACACATTACAACACACCGCAACACAAGCAGTGCCCTGCTAGACCACCCACCCCCTCCGAGGCTGACTCTCCGTGTCACCGCGCCCGCCGCCCGCCTGCTCCCCCGCTCGGCTCGGGTTGCGGCTTTCCCCCAGCTGCGAGATGCGCCGGGCCGCGCGATCGCGTTCCAGCCTGTGGCATTGGCCCGCGCCGTTTCACGCGGAGGAACCTGGACCTCGTATAGCCCCGTCCTCACCAGACCCTGTCCAGCCTCTGAGCCTCTCGTGGCTTGCTTCCATGTGTCGCGCGCCACCTTCCCTGATGAAGCCACTGCCTACTGACAGCACAGCCTGCGTGTTGTCTTGGATTTCGTGCGTTGCGTTCCTGAGACTCGTCAGTTAAACGGTCGAGGGAAGGAAGAAGCGAAGGATCACATAGGGAGAGGCGTGTTTCTGGAACCACGCGCGAGACAGTGAAATTTGACTTCATTGCACAAAGTTTTCCACATGACCTTCAAGAACTTACTTTTGCGCATCGTGAGATGTCGAGCGGAATGGCTCATTCGCCCGCTCGAGACGCCGATCAATTGAATGGTTCCATCGGAGGGACCATGTAGCCAATGTAATCCGGCTGTGAAACCCGTCTCCGAGGTCTGTGACAGTCCTGTCCCCTCGCACCGTCGGTGCTGAATTTGCATCCTCGAGGCTGGTGTGATTTTGGTTCCAGGGTCTCGTGTCGGTGGAGGATGGCGCTCGTTTCTTGATCGAGAATTTCGCCGTTTTCCTTGCCCCTGTCGAAGACGACGTGGCACAGAGACACCGGCCCCTTTCGCAGCCGAACGGCTGCTTGCATTGCCCATTCAGGGTCAGACTCTGGGTCCAGCCGCTAAACACATTGAGACTGGCACTTTCATTTCGCAAGAAAGCCAATGGCAGCATACCCGGGATCGACTGTGTCGTATCTGGCCGACGAACTTGGCACTGCTGTGGCACGATGACCCAGCTGCCTCAACATTGCATCTCAGCTTTACATACCTGCTGATATGTCAGACCTTTCTTCCATCTCCGCAAGAAAGATGTAATTGCAGCTGGTACGTTCGATCCAATCATGTCCGCAGAAAGCCTTCTTTCCAGTAAGTGGTAGGTGGGCGGTGTGCTCTGACCTGAGTCGCAGATAATCAATCAATCTGGTCCATACACCATGTCGAAGCCTTAGACGTGAGAAAATGTCTCTCAGGAGAACGTGACGTTGCAAAAACAAACCTGGCTTCGTTGGAAATTGACTGAAGCTGATCATGAAAGTCGAAAAGTACTATGTGAGGATCTTGATTGACGAGGTACGAGCGTGGCAAACGTGATGTAGTCGTAGAACGCGGGGGCTTTCAGCCGGGCTTCTTCAACGCGGATGCAGCACGGAGCGCCGGGTGGGGCCCGGCCTCCGTCTCCGGGGCCACGCTTCGGCACCGCAACCCACGCAAGTCACCGCTTCCTTCCGATCTCTTTCCCCCAACAGGCGACGCCGCCATCTGACATCCTCCCTCACCGGTGTTTCAAACGACCTTCCCCACAACCTCACCGGTAATTGAAGATGTCGGCCAACGTCTGACCACCAAACGGGCGAGCGGTCAGCGTCTCATTCGCGCTCCAACAGAGATTGCCCGTCTGCTGATGCTTCACCCACCGAATTCCCCCACGCCTGGGGACACGCCACCATCTGAGATCACTCCATTTCTCGGCCCGCAGGCTGTTTTCTCGTCAGCAAGCAGGCCAACGCCACTCCCGTTATTGAACAGCCTGAAGAATCCTACATTGGGGCCGAATTGGCGATCATAAGAACCAAGCTGGCCAAGCTGAACGTATTGCACGTGGGGGCTGGATAAGGAATCGCAGACAAGGACAAAAAGACCGCACAGACAGACGGGCGAGGAATGCATCCATCCTCCTGATTACTGTCGTATGCCTGAACGTCGCTCATCTCGTGCGATTCTGAGTCCAGCCAACCAACAACGCTGCACTAACACCACCCAGCGTTCCCAAGGCAAGGTGATGACAAAAGGTCACTTTCACCCACGCAAATAACTCCTTCCGGCTCCCGCGCCGTACCCGCGCTCCCTCACCTGACCACCACCACCACCAACACCCCGCAGAACCTCGGTCTGCTCAGCCGCGGCGCTCGCCAACGCATCAATCATACCCAATCCCCCCCTCCGCGAGACAACACCAAATTTGGGGAACCAGATGTCACGCTGCGCTGACAGTCATCAATTCTTCCCTTCACCGCACCGCCGCGGCCCGTCCCAAGCCCAAACCACTTCCTCGCTTGCTCCGCGCCAAAAGCGCCCGTGATTACCGCCGAGGATCAACATGGTTCGGGTCTTGGACAAGTCATCAATACTCCAACAGACAGCTGTTGACCTAGCCAAAGGCCCTTTCTGCTGCCGACGAGGCGTGGGGGGAGGGGCAGGGCTGACCGCAGTCCCTGACTGCCTGACCGGCTCGTTAGCAGAGGCTGCAGCAGATATGCCGAGGCATGCGAGCTCTCGCAGCCGCTGTGCAGCAGTAGACGGGCGGCACGGAGCGCTGCCAATTGAGATTCTGACCGCGACTCGTGACGATGCCCTCATGTTAGCAGAACGCGTGCGGCGCCACTTCACATGCGTCCTTGGGGGGCGATGCAGTTCCTGCAGTAGAACCGCGCATCGAGGGCGTCCGGCGGTCAATAGCACATTCTTCACCGCATTTCGGCTTCGGACCCTGACTCTCTGCCCTCCGCAGATTATAGATCCGGCGCGACCGCATTCCCCGGGTGCACAACAAAAAAAGGACCAACCAACACATGACTCTGTGTGGTTGTCTCTCCGCAAGTGCGGTCTCACACACCGCATTCGCGCGTCAGTCAGCGAGAAGGGCAGGCGACACCAGAACCAACACACCAGACGGGAAAATTCTCCTTAGCCCGAGGTTCAACCCCGAGTGAAAGGAAGGCGGTGGTGATCACTCGTCATGCGCCTAGCGCGAAGAAAATGGCTTCGATTTTCCTCGGGACCTGGATTAGATACTCGTGGCTTATTTTTGACTGGTCGTTCCAACACTTGCCGGCCAGCCGTTGGAGAGACATGCCTTAGAGGGAGTGAAAGAAAGACAAACCCGGAGTCTTTGAAGATGCCGAAAGCAGACACATCTGATCCCACTTCTCTTTGATTCCCATGGTCCTTGTGCGTGGGGAAAATCTCCCATCGCCCTTGAGACCGCCGTGGCGCAGGTCAGCAGCTGCGAGGACGACGATGTAGACGTGGGTGCCACCAGTGCAAGAGACAAAGTAAGGCGCGCGTGTCTGGGAGAAAGGCTGAATGGGAAGATACCACCACACTCGAACAGATGTTTCCCATTTTCCCGTCTCAGGTACCGACGCCGTTCCCATCCATGTCTTCTTACCGTCCAGCTTTTTCCCGCGTGATGCCACTTGACACAGGCGATACTGATGGTTCCTGGGGTCGAAGTCCCGGAACAGGCCATTCCAAAGTCACAAAAACAGAGAACAAACGGAATTGGGACGTGGGGTTGGTTAGTTCAGTGTACCGTCACTAGACGTAGCTTGCAACCTTCACGTATGCGCGCCCATTTGTGACAGTCTGTGGCAGCGCGGCAAGGCAGGACGGTTAGGCGCCGCCGTAACAGAGACGACCTGACAAGATATTTTGGGGGGTTGACCACAGGGCAGATCGCTTGGCCGTCAACCTGGGTGAGTACATGCAGAGAAAGGTCCAGTGAAGCCAAGAGAAACACTTGAGTTGCAGCGATGCGATGCTGAAGCCTGGAGCTGGCACAACGAATGGGCCGATCAGGAGGCTCGGCCGGATAATGTCCAATAGCAATGCAGAGAAACAAAAGAGGACGGGCTGATTCATCTTACCCCCTCAATGTCACCCACCGTACCATCCATCCACGCAGTCTCTCCAGCCCTGCGTCTATTTGGGGGATGGATGGGTGATACATCGATTCTTCGAACATTCGTCGAAGAAAGGGCTGCACAAACAGTTCGAAACAATCAAGCAGAAGCGAGGCGAGCCTGCAGAATTGGCACTCTGGGGTTGACAATGTTCGTTCAAACAAAAAAGGCTACAGCAAACCTGGGGAAGGGGGTTGCAACCGTCGAAACCCCCAGGTTGCAAGGAATCCTTTTCCGTCCGCAAACGGCAAAGAGGCGGTTCGTGTCTCTGCAATTAGCCTTTTGGAACGGCAGAGAAAAAGTCACCACAAGCATGTTCAAAACGGGGCCGAGATTGAGTAAAAACAAATGAAATAAAATATTCATATTTGATTTTTATTTTCTTTGAATATCTTGGCCCTCAGTTGCAAATCCGTTTACACGCCCCTCCCTCTCCATGGAAACTACAAACCCCCATCCCAAGTCAGGGATCACGGTCCTAGTCTTCCAAGTCCGTTGGCCATCAAATGCCCAAAGACTTTGAACGACATGCAACATAGGGGGTCGTCATCAGACCCATCAGTTCGCCGCTGGAAGTTGCCCGAGAAGGCAAGCATCTCAGCAATGGGGAACCCAAGAAGCCGAGCCGACCGCACCGTGACCGCCACATAATCTGGAGCAATGACCAAACAGAAAAATAAGGGATTCCGGGGAAACTTGGCGGAGGCCCACGTTTATGCCATCTTCCCCTCAATCTTCAGGGCTGACGGTATTCGACAAAATGCGGAGAGACGGGGGGTCTTGGCGAGGGGTCACCCTTCGTACTGAGTGTACGTGTGTGTGGTGTTCGCCATGGTGGACCAACCTCGGTATTCTCTCCGCTAGCTCGGGAATTCGGGCCCGATTTGGGATCATTAGGATTTCTAGAGTTGGTGTGTGGTGTGTGAGTTAATGACCATTAGAAAAACAAGAAAATGCGTAAAACGTTCATCCGGCGCATTGTCGTTCGTCGTCCTTGGTGGGAGGAGGGGACCAAGGCAGATCAGATGAGAAGAAGAACCGGAAGGCGGTGGACTCTGGACCGGGCACGACCCTGAAAATCGCCTCTGGTGCCAAGATGGAGCGATGGTTGGGTGTGCGCCCTGAATCTACAAGTACCTGCTTGCCGGTCTGAGGTTGTAAATTCCAAGTTGGAGGTGGCGGATGTAGTACACGATGTGGTTTTTTCCAGGATGGCCCGTTTCTGCGATATCCAGGAAATCACGGGTTTGGATATTGGAAAACCAAGGCACCGCACAACTTGCTGCGACGGTTCCAGTTTCTTGGTCCGGGAATTCGAACCACTACCCACCCCCTCAAGGTAAGAAACGGGATTTGGGAAATGGCGGCCAGGGAAGACTCGGTCAGAGAGATGGCATTTCCAGTTTTCTTCCTTGGGTGTAGCTGGTTGAAAACGTGGACTGGAGTTACACCGCCAAATACCAGATAGACCGTATGCGACTATTCGTTGTGACCGTAACGGAGCCCGTTCCGAACAAAAACAGACCACCACGTATCCGACCCGACGGATTCGGCTCACGGCGACGCATCATGCAGCGGACGACAGGACGGTAGGGTGGGTAATTCCCTAGCGATCGGGATCGCGATGCAGCAATTCTTATTTTCGAGCCTCTTTTCTTTGCCCACTTCCACTTCCACCAAGCTGTGTTTTCTCCGAGCATTTCTCCTCGTCACATCAGACGACGTGCATTTGTGAGGAACAAAATCCAGACAGGACCCAACGAAGGTGGATAGAAGACGAGGCCGCGCTAGCAAGAAAACTTCGACACGACGGCGCTTCGGTGCAACTCCGGTGGTTGAGGTGACTCTGTAGCGGAGCCTCTCCAAAGACAACGAGTTCCAGGTTCTCCTCCTTCTCCAAGACCTCGGAACCAGGGGGGAGACTGCCAATGGACCACTGGAAAAGACTGCAAAGAAAAATCTAGCGTTTTCAAGGCCGTAAGGCAGTTTTCGTCCCCTCTTTCAAGGCTCCCAAATCCACCAGAAATGCCCATGTCAAGCCCGCGTCTCAAGGCTCCAGCTGCCGCAGCGACAAAGAGGGAAAGCCGAGAAGGACCAGGGTTTTCGCGTAATCAGAGCTCCCTCAACGGCTGGGATAACTTCGGTCTGCAGGGGCGCTTACACTGCCCGCGAGGGGTGGGCTTACGCCTGCCTCTTCCAGCACCAGGTTGGACCAATTTCACTTGTCGTGACCCCGTCCGAAGTCTCCACGAAGACTCGGGTTTGCTCGGGGGTGTTCAGAGGTCACACTTTGGTCCTCTCTCAGCCTTTAGGCCGCAGCAGACGAGGTGAGGTTGCTCCATCGTCGT